ACTTGGTGAAGGACAGTCATCTGTCCCCAGGGACTTAGAGGAGGACAATCATCTGTCCCCAGGACTTGGAGGACAATCATCTGTCCCCAGGTACCTGGAGGAGGACAATCATCTGTCCCCAGGTACCTGGAGGAGGACAGTCATCAGTCCCCAGGTACCTGGAGGAGGACAGTCATCAGTCCTAGCTCCTTCCTCACCAACACAGAAGATCCTGCAGGCAGACAGGAGACAGTGATGAAAATAAAGCAAGCCTCCTGGCGTCACATCCCCCAGGACAGAAGACCTGCCCTTGGCTGGAGAGTCCCTGGGGATCAGAGGGAGGCATGGTCCCAGGGGCAGACCCACTCCAGGTACCTTCCCAAGAGGTCATGAAAACACAGCGACTGTACCTTGACTGTGTCCAGAGGGTAGCCAACAATGACACTGGCTGCACCTGTAGGTCGAAGAACAATACTGGTCACCCAAACTCTGGACTCCTGGGTTGTCCCTGCCGTCCCCTAGAGGAGGTCAGAGACTGAGGCATGGCAGTCATGAGTCACCGGGGGTCTTCCAGCGCACAGGCCTGGCCCAGTTACTGAGGAAGACGGACAGTAGACTCAAACCTGGGCCTCATTCTTTAAAGTACCCCAAAATTAGAATTACAGCTCAGGTACAACTGGATATCCATGTGCTGAAGAATGGATTTAGATCCTGCCTCACACCACATACAAAAAGTTATCCAAAACAGACCAAAGGGTTAAAACTATAAAGATACAAATATGTGGAAAATACTTTACAGCCCGGGTTTTGTAACATTTGTAACATTCGTAGTTACACTAAAGAAGGCACAAACAGCAAAGGAAGAAGACTAATAAAATAGGTGAACTAGACATCACAATAGATACTCTATGAAAGTGAAGACAGACAGACAGCGAAAACTGAGACATTGTTTCCAAATCACCTCTCTGTTAGGGTCTCAATTCCAGAACACACAGAGAACTCTTAAAACATTGTTTAGGTGGCTATAATTAACATCTGAGGAAGACATGCCAATGGTATGTCTTGGTATGTCAATGGTATATATATGCTCAACATCATTGGTCACTAGGGAAATGTAAATCAAAATAATAATGAAACTTCACATCCACTAAGATGGCTGCAATTTTAAAAAAGAAAAACAGATAAAAAGTGCTGACAAAGATAGAAAGAAATTGGACTTTTGTTTCTTTGTTTTTTGAGACAGGGTTTCTCTGTGTAGCCCTGGCTGTCCTGGATCTCACTCTGTAGACCAGGCTGGCCTCAAACCCACAGAAATCCACCTGCCTCTGTCTCTGTCTCCCAAGGGCTAGGGTTCAGGGCGTGCCCCATCATGGCCTGCACAAGAAATTGGGACTTGTGTCTGTATGTGCACTACATGCATATGGTGCCTGTAGAGGCTAGAAGAGGATGTCGGATTCCCTGAAATCGCACATATAGATGGATGGTTCTGAGTAAACAGATGCTTGGAAGTGGGCTGGAAGAACAGTGCGGACTCTTGTGAGCTCTCTCTCTCCCCCTCCAGCCCTGAGAACTCTTGTACATTGTAGATGGCAATGTGAAACAGTGCCATCACTGCAGAAAACTGGTTATTCCTCAAAAAAGTTAAACACAGAATTACTACATGACTCAGCACTCCAACCCTGGATCTATACCTAAGAATTCAAAGCAAGAACTCAAATAAGAACAAGCATACCATGATCACCACAGCGTTTATCACAGGACAAAGAGTGGGAACACAACCAATGGCCATCAAGTGGCATATAATGAATGAATGTGGTCGAGAACAATGGATAGCTAGTACTGTGTAGCCATTTCCTCCGAATGGAAACATCCCATCCTGGAAGAAGGATCCTTAAGACTCAGGAAGTAAAACTCACAAGTCTCAGAACTTCCTGAAACTAGTAAGATTGACAGGGTCCTCTTCCCAAAGTTATATAGGCAGTAAGGGCTGCTGGAGAGAGGAGACTCTGTCTAGTTAAGCTGAGACCAGGTGTACAGCAGCTTTTAGGAGCTGTTGGCCATGCTGGGGTGGTTCTTCAGTGAGTCTCCCAGGCTCCTCTAACTAACCCCTTGTGTGTACTCCTGGAAGGAACTCCAGTAAACTTCCTGACTGGTTAAGTTAGACCTTGATGCTCTGGGGGGGGGGGGGGTGAACAATTCATATCTACCCAGGTAAAGTCACAAAACAGGTAGGAATGGAGTACTGAACCCTGCTGCAATGTGGGTGAACCTTAAAAACATAGTATGCTAGGCAAGAGAAGCCAGACACAAAGGCAGACATGCTGTGTGACTTTATTTAAATGAATTGTGGAGAATAGGCAAAGACAAAAAGAACCCAGAAAACAGGTTAGGTTCCAAGGCTGGGAGGAGGGGAGGAGGTTAGGAGTGATAACTGAATGGATAAGGAGGAGGCAGGGAGGAAAGGGAGGGAGGGAGGGAAGGAGAAGGGAAGAAGGGAGGGAGGGGGAAGAGAGAGAGAGAACAGGACATCTGGCTACACAAAGTCTCAAAGTCACCTAGATGAAGAAGCCTTTGCGGTCCCTAGCAACTGACATTCACACAGGGCTGTTTTTCCAGGACAAATTCCTCCACCCCATTGGTGAAAAAGGCAACATCTCCCCCAGCAGAGGAGTCTAACAAGCCAGGCAACAGGGACGCTTGTTGCTTGGTCTAGAACCTCCTGTCTTCTTCACCCTCCACTCTCCCCTGAACTGGGCAGCAGGGAGTTGAACAGCAGCCAAAGAAAGCCTGGACCTGCTGGTCCAGCTCAGCCCAGGTGCCACTGTCTCCCCCCAGGGTGGGGCAGTCATCCTCAGGTCTGGAGCAGCAGCTCAGAGCCCTGCTCACACTCAGCCCACATACCTGAAAGCAGGGATGCAAAATAAAAATCGAGGTACTAGGGCAGTAGTTTCTAGAGCTTGGAAAGTCTGTAGGGCTTCAGAAAAACGTGGGGGACACTGTGGTGAGATTTTGTTGCACAGTGTCATTCAGGAAGACAACTAGTGGCACTTGACAGGGACCTCAGCACACAGCTAGCAGCAGCGGGTGGTCTTGGGCTTTACTCTAAGACTGTTTTGTTAACTATTCCAGTCATGTTTTGCTTTGCGACAGTAAAATGATGGTGCATGTGGTGACCCCTAAGCACAGGGACCAAAGAGTCCAGAAGAGCTGTCGAGAAGGACATTGAAGAAGGTGAGAGCTGATAGGTGACAGTGGTGGATCAGAGGGATTCCTCTCAGCTGTCTCAGGCAAAAGCACCAGTAATGCTCCACTCCCTGCCCCATGGATCCGCTCCCTCCAGGGGCAACGCCCTTGAGAACAACCTGATCTTAAAGTCCAGGTTCTTGGCCACCCTGAGACCGGGGTTCAGGAGCCAAGCCAAGCGCCAACCTAAGCACAAATTTCTTGGAGAAATGTTCCCATACCCAGGTGCGCTCTGGGTCACTGAAGGGTGTGCACACACTGGGGTGGCTCCATTGGTTGTCTGCCCCGACCAGCGGTTTAATCATTATGGGATCCAAGTTCCTTGGGACCTGACATTGAGGCAAATCAGAAGCTTGAGGAAATCACTGTGAATCTGAAGAGCTTGGCTTCAGAAGCTAGGAGGGACATCAGGACCAGCCAAGCGGACTGGGTTAGGGACGCGGGGTACTGCAGGCGTCACTCACGCCAAGCAAACCAGGCAATGCAAAGCGCACTGAGAACACCAGGTGCAAACAAGCTGGCGCAGCTTGCCCTGTAGTGCGGGGGTGAAGGGGGGGCGCTGTCCTGAAAGCACACTCACCTCCGATCCAGCCCGCCGCGAAGTCTTCCAGCTGGAAGTTGCCCATGGCTAATGCGACTTGCGCCCGGGCAACGTCCGCTCAGTGTGTGTCGAGCATGGCCGGTGTCCACAAGCGCAGGCGACTCGATCACCCTGCAGGTTCTTCCCCAAATTCAGTGTTCCAGCCACCCGCGCTTGGGCAGTCAGCGAATGAGGGCGGGTGGCTGACAACCCGCCCCCAGAGGATCTTAAAGGCACAGCACTCTAGAGGCGTGATCCAGGAGGCTGTCCCAGTTACCAAGGGAATTCCCTTGGTATGTATGGCCACCGCCCTCGCTCTTCCCAACAACACAGCCTCAGGGTCCTCCATGTCTTCCAGGTGAAAGCAGCAGCCAGAGGAGCGAAAACCTGTTTAGGACACGCTTGCAAAGCTGTTCAAGAGAGTGAAGGAGGGAGACTTCACAAACACCACACTTGCCTGCAGTAGGACCCACCCGGCAAGACTCTCCGCTGTGTGGAAGGGCACACAGCCTTGTTAGGACTAATAGAAGGTTTGGGGAGATGGGTTAGTGGGGAAGAGCACTTGCTAGATAAGCATGAGGGCCTGAATTTGGGTTCCCAGGACCCACATAAATGCCTGGCATCGTTAGGTGCCTAGAACGTCAGAGTTGGGGGGCAGGGACAGGGGTCCCCAGAGACAAGAGGATTGCTGGGGCTTGCTTGACAGTCGGCATAGAGGAAAACAGAGTAGGACACTTGAGATCCTCGTCTCCTCAACACACATATACACATGCATGCATACATGTGCACACACACATGCACACACATGCATGTGTGCACACAAACTGTAACTGAACAGCATCTACAAACCAAAAATTCTTAATGATTTGACCAGCTGATGGAAAGCCATGGGCCATTTCACTATATGATGGAGTACACATGATTTTTCCAAGCTAGTTCTAGAGTTAAGAGACTGCCTCTCCTCCTCCAGGTCACACACTGTCCGCATGCCCTGGGTTGAGAGTCACATCCATCACTGAGTAATTGAATAAGGTATGGGAGTACCTCATTCAGAAATCAGCTCAAGCCAGCTCTGAATGAGTCTGTTATCCTGCACTTAACTGAAGCCCCCTTCCTCTGCTCTTGATTAATCTTTTCATCAAGTCTGTGGACTCCACTCCACAGGCCAGGAAAGCCATTGTGTGTTCAAAGTATAAAATGTATATGCATCTCACACAGAAATGATAATCCTTCAGAAAAGAGGCCAAAGCAGGCCATGAACATGTCCAGATCCTGGTCTGAAATCAGATTCCAAATTATTCCCCCAATATTGGCTTCCACAGGGAAAAGCCCAGGCAAGCCCTACCCAGAAGGGAAAATCCTGCAGCCTCCTCTGAAGTGTGCACACAGTCCCCTCCTGCAGACAGGTCTGGCCTGAATGGGCACCCCTGTATCGACCAAAGAGCCTCCTCACTACAACGGGAACACGGGAAAACGTTTCCAGCAGTCAGGCTGCAGTAAAGCAGCGGAAACTCGACTGCAGCTCGGACACTCTCTGATGTGTCCTCGGCTTTCGTGTTGGTAGAAACCAGTGGTCTCAATGCATTCCAGATGCTTTACTAACAGCCCAAGTGTTAGTCAGATGCAGACATGAATGATAAAAAGATAGCTAAGGGAACAGAGGGAATGTTGGCTTCAGTCTGCAACATTCCATCTCTCCACAATCACACATTCTGATGGATCAATCAGTAGCTCCACAGAGCCTTCTATATAAGTGAGGCTGTCTTAGAGGACATCGCACCACAGCCCTGGAGAGCTAGGCTCAACCTGACCAGCCTTCAGAGCAGGGAGGACAGAGTGATTCAACCAAACACTAATCTGGGTGGTGCCATGAGGGGTATGTTTAAGAGTATGGGTGGGTGATGATGGATGTTACTAGGGATGTTAACCCAGGGTTTTAAACCTCCTAGCTGCGAATGTGTATATGTATGTGTATGTGTATGTATGTGTGTGTATGTGTATGTGTATGTATATGTATGACCAGCACCACAGTCAACTGAACCTTGATCACCTGGGAAAGCTTCATTCAACCAATTCAAACACCCTAAAAGCAAACCACATGATGTCCTGAAAGACTAAGCTCTTGCCAGATGATTTCAGTCTTCTGGTCCATCCAACAAATGAGACCAGCTCAGATCAACTCTGACATTGCACACAGGGGCTTTGTTTTCTCAGGTAGAGCCCTGATGGGTACTCCGCATCACTGTGCACATCTTCAAACACAGATGTGGAAACTGAGGTACAGAGTGAGCAAACAAGATCCTATCAAGCTGGGGGTATTATCCCCCAGCTACAAAGTGGTGGCATGATTCTAGGGGCAATCTACAGATGCTGGCTGACTTTTCTGACACCCCCCCCCCTTCAACACCTCTTTTTCTGCCCCTCTGCTCTCCCATCTACCCCACCCCCAGCCTGAGATGGCACTTGGCAGGTGCTAGTATTGTCCTGTGCTGGCTTAATAGTGTGATTCCAATCAACTGTGGCCCTCCTCTAGCCATGCCCTTTCAAAGCCCTGAGCTCAGAGCACCTAGCAGTCCAAAGTATCTCTCTTTGGGGTGTGGTGGTATTGTGTTCCCCAAAATATTGTACATGCTAATAAACTTATCTGGGGTCAGAGAACAGGACAGCCACAATATTAAACATAGAAGATAGGCAGTGGTAGCACACACCTCTAATCCTAGCATTCCAGAGGCAGAAATCCCTTTGGATCTCTGTGAGTTCAAGGCTACACTGGAAACAGCCAGGCATGGTGACACACGCTTTTAATCCCAAGAAATGAGCCTTTAATCCCAGGGAGTGATGACAGATAGCAGAAAGGTATATAAGGCGTGAGGACCAGGAACTAGAAGCATTTGGCTGGTTAAGCTTTCAGGCTTTGGAACAGCACAGTTCAGCTGAGATTCATTCTGGATGAAGACTGAGAAGCTTCCAATCTGAGGAAACAGGATCAGCTGAGGAACTGGCCAGGTGAGGTAGCTGTGGCTTATTCTGCTTCTCTGATCTTCCAGCATTCACCCCAATAACTGGCCTCTGGTTTGATTTTATTAATAGACCGTCTATGATTCCTGATACATTTGGGGGTATGGTGTGGTGGGGATCCCCACCAGGTGCTGGCTCAACCTACACTGTCCTAGCCAAAAGGTAAAGGGTGGCCCTCTCTACCTTCCTCTGCAGGTAGACCACACATCCAGCCAACCCCCACCCCCCACCCCCCACCCCCCACCCACTGCAGTCCAGGGATATCCAGGCTGGCCACATGAGGCACCTTTGCTCCATTTGGAATGTCCTACCTCCCCCTGCCTCTAAGGAAGGTGACATTGTGCTCAACAGTGTCCAGCTAGCTTCCAGCAGGGGCGCAGCTCGGGGTTGATGGGAGTGGGGAGTGTGGCCTGGAGAAAGTCCCTCGGCTTGGCCTGCTCTTGTCCCACTGGCACTCTTGGGTCAGTGTGCAAGAGCCATTGGTCAGGCTTCCTTCTGCCAAAGCAAGAGTCTGACGGCTGGCACCTCTCCAGAGCCTCCTGAGGCGTGGGGCTCAGTGTTGGGCAGGTCCTCCTGTAGCCCTGTCCTCTTCCTCCATGAGGTGTGCACAGACTTTGGTTTTTAATTCCAGAGCCAACGCCCCCCCTCGGCGGGGAGAGTGTAGGACGAAGCAGGAAGCTCAGGCTGGCAGGGGTGGGGGGGTGGGGGGTGAAGAGTCACAGCCTGTGTCTGAGCTCACTTCATAGGCACATGGGGTCCGCTCAACCTTGAGGCCACAGCACTAGTGGAGCTAGGCTCTACCATGCCTGCGAGCCGGGCCTGTGACCATCTGGGAAACGGAAGGTCTCTGAAGAGCGGTCCTTTGGCGAGTCTACTGTTGGAGTGCATCCAGTGTGAAGCCAGCCAGTTCCCAAGGCCACTCTTGGAGGACCACCTAAGCACTTCCAGGCAGACTGCCAGCTCCTCAGTGCCGTGTCGGCCCCGTTAGGGTGGTCTTGAGTTGGCAGGCAGCACGGCTGGCAGACAGGATGGCCTCCCTGGCCCAGGGTTCTGCTGCTTGGTTGTCAATGAGCCTGAGATGACTGGAAGCCCTCACATTCCCGAGTGCATGCTGTGAGTCTACCCTGAAGCACGTCACAAGAAGAGTACAGAGAACCCTACATGGAGTGGCAGCATGGAGCAGGCAGGCCCTCAGAGTCCTGAGCCCTGGGGTGTGGGACCCGGCAGAACCCTGGTTCCTGCAAAGGAACCACCCATCCCTGGATTTCCCTCTTGGGGGCAGCATTGATGCCGCTGCTGAATCTATGCTGATTTCTGGGCTAGGATGCAACCAACCAGCTCATAAAGTAACCAGAGCTCAGAGTTAGCCTCTCAGATAGAGGGGCTACCGAGGCTGCCATGGCCAGAGAGAAATTCCATTCCATTCTCCCTCAGCTCTTCCACACAGAGCTCTTGCAGCATGCCTATGTGGTAGGGGCATGTGTAGGATGGGGTGGGTGCTGGTGTCCTTGGATAATGGGACCCATTTCCTGTGTCTCCTTCAAGGGCAAGAGAAGCTCCTGGGTACTGGTATATGCCAGCCTTTCCTTTGGAGAAAGCCGCTAAAGAAGAGACTGTTTGCCTGGAATAGGACATGGATGCCACTGGGAAAGCGCTGGAGGAGTTGTGTTTCCAGAAGTCAGGGAAGGCTCCACAGCCTGGAGTCTCCTGGCGATACCTTCAGTCTACTTAGCCATGGCTCCAGCTCTCTAGCACTTTTCTCAGCCAAGGACTCAGTCTCTACCTGAGCCCACCATCTACACCTGAGCTCACCAACTACACCTGTGCCACCATCTACACCTGTGCCCACCACCTACACCTGTTCCCACCATCTACACCTGAGCTCACCATCTACACCTGTGCCCTCCATCTACACCTGTGCCCTCCATCTACACCTGTGCCCTCCATCTACACCTGTGCCCTCCATCTACACCTGTGCCCACTATCTACACCTGTGCCCTCCATCTACACCTGTGCCCACTATCTACACCTGTGCCCTCCATCTACACCTTGCCCACTATCTACACCTGTGCCCTCCATCTACACCTGTGCTGTGGATATCGTTCTATATAAATAAAACACTGATGGCCAGTGGCCAGGCAGGAAGTAGGTGGGACAAGG